ACAAGGGTTTTGTTAGGCCGAGCACTTCACCTTGGGGAGCACCCGTATTGTTTGGTAAGAAGAAGGACGGTACACTTCGTCTTTGTATTGATTACCGGGAACTAAATAAGGTAACCATTAAGAATAAGTATCCATTGCCGAGGATAGATGATTTGTTTGATCAGTTGCAAGGAGCACGAGTCTTTTCTAAAATTGACCTTAGGTCGGGTTACCATCAACTTAAGGTTAAAGCCGAGGATGTTGAGAAGACTGCTTTTCGGACAAGGTACGGCCACTATGAACAGAGTCTTTAAGCCATATCTAGACGAGTTTATGGTTGTCTTCATTGATGATATATTGATCTACTCAAAGAGTAAAGCTGAGCATGAGGATCATTTGAGACTTACCTTACGGACTTTGAGAGAACAGAAATTGTATGCTAAGTTTAACAAGTGTGAGTTTTGGCTTTCCACTATTTCATTTTTGGGCCATGTGATTGATGAAGAGGGTATTTCGGTCGATCCTAGTAAAATTGAAGCCGTTGTGAATTGGCTGAGACCAACTAATGTGCCCGAGGTTCATAGTTTTCTGGGATTGGCAGGTTATTATAGGAAGTTTGTGAAGGATTTCTCAAGGGTTGCAATTCCATTGACACAACTGACTAAGAAGGGAGCAGCTTACGAATGGATTGAGGATAGCGAATCAGCCTTCTAGGAGTTGAAAACGAGGTTAGTCACAGCACCAGTTCTTGTACTACCATCAGGTAATGAAGAGTTTCATGTTTATAGTGATGCTTCGCATAAGGGCTTGGGTTGTGTATTAATGCAAGGGGGTAAGGTCATAGCATATGCATCTCGTCAGTTGAAGCCACATGAAAAGAACTATCCTACCCATGATTTAGAACTAGCAGCCGTAGTGTTTGCTTTGAAGATTTGGCGTCACCATTTGTATGGAGCTTCTTGTCAGGTTTTTACAGATCATAAGAGTTTAAAGTACTTGTTCACTCAGAAAGAATTGAATAAGAGGTAGAGAAGATGGCTTGAGTTGTTGAAAGACTACGACATGCAAATTCAATATCACCCAAGTAAAGCTAATACCGTAGCCGACCCTTTGAGCAGAAAGATGATTGGAAATTTGGCCTGCCTAACCACGATTTCAGTGGAGCTGACTATTGTTGAGGAAGTAAAGACAAGACAGATGGAGGATGAATTCTTCAAGAAGGTAGCTGATGAGATTATCACAAAGTCGAGATCAGGGTACACCATTGAAAATCAAGTGCTCAAGTTTGAAGGAAGATTGTGTGTGGCCGACGTCCCAGAGTTGAAAAGGAAAATTTTGCAGGAAGCTCATGGTTCCAAATTTGCTGTTCATCTAGGGAACACCAGGATGTATCAGGATGTAAAGAAAATGTTTTGGTGGCCGAATATGGAAGGAGAAATAGCCGAGTTTGTGTCCCAGTGTTTGCATTGTCAACAAGTGAAAGCAGAACATCAAAGGCCAGCAGGGCTTCTCCAACCTTTGCCGATTCCTGAGTGGAAATGGGAACACATCTTCATGGACTTCGTGGTTGGTTTGCCGAAGACACAAAAGGGTATGGATTCGATTTGGGTTATTGTGGATAGACTAACTAAGTCAGCACACTTCTTGCCTGTTAAGACCACCTTCAACGCCGATCAACTTGCTTTATTGTATGTGAATGAGATTGTTAGACTTCATGGAGTGCCGATGTCCATTGTGTCAGACCGAGATCCAAAGTTTGTTTCCAGATTTTGGCAAAGTCTACAAGGAGCTTTCGGAGCCGAGTTGAGGTTTAGCACAGCTTTTCATCCCTAGACTGATAGGCAAACAGAAAGGACAATTCAGACACTTGAAGACATGCTTAGACTATGTGTATTGGACTTCCAAGGAAGTTGGGGCGTACATTTGCCATTGGTGGAATTTACCTACAACAACAGTTATCAAGCTAGCATTGGCATGGCGCCGTATGAAGCATTGTATGGAAGGAAATGCAGATCGTCGATATGCTGGACCGAGGTAGGAGACAAAGCTATACGTCTCAAGTTAATCCAAGTGACAACCGAGAAGATTAAGCTCATTCAGCAAAGAATCAAAGCCGCTCAGAGTCGATAGAAGAGTTATGCCGACCAAAGAAGAAGGGAGTTAGAATTTGAAGTCGGGGATCATGTATTCCTAAAGATTTCGCCGATAAAAGGAGTTACAAGATTCGGGAAGAAGGGTAAGTTAGCACCCCGTTACATCGGACCTTTTGAAGTTCTTGAGAAGGTTAACCTCGCTGCCTACAAACTTGCTTTGCCGCCAGAGTAGAGCCAAGTCCATAATGTGTTTCATATCTCGATGTTGAGAAAGTATATTCGGGATCCACTGCATGTGATTGACTATTTCGGGATTGTAGTTAATGAGGATTTAGGCTACGAAGAGAAGCCAATACGGATTATCGATAGGCAGGTGAAACAGTTGAGAAGTAAGGCGATACCAATAGTGAAAGTTGACTGGAAGGAACATTACGGTGAAGATGCTACTTGGGAAATGGAAGAGGACATGAAAGTCCGACATCCAGAATTGTTTTTGGAACAAGGTAACTCAAGTTTGGGGACCAAACTTCTTTAAGGGGGGTAGGATGTAACAACCCTCACCCAACTTAGTCGTACTTGCATACATTTATGTATGATCTTGTCTTGTCATGTTGCATTTGCAAATCTTGCCTTGCTTTGCTTGAGTGTTGCTCGCATACTTTGTCCTTGCCTGGTGTGTTGCCGAGGTCATCCTTAGCCTAGTCACCTTTAAACCCCTTTTACACTTAGCAGTACCTTGGAATCACTTTGGTTGACGTCCATCTTCACCCTGGCATATTGGCCGAGATGTCACTATCTAGGCCGAGGTGTGCAGCACCAAGGCCGAGGTGTGCAGCACCAAGGCCGAGATATGTATTATCTAGGCCGAGATGTTGTCCTTGCACCTAAGTGATCTTGTTCCTAGATTGGTATCACCTAGACCGAGGTGTGGCACATCTAGGCCAAGGTGTGGCACAGCTTAGTCAAATATTGTCCTCCCAAGCCGATGTCACTATTACCCTACTTGCCGAAGCTTTGTCCTTAGCCGAGATCATCACTTGCCGGCGTGCTCTTACCGTCTAAGCTTGTTGAACACACTTTGTCATAGTCTTGTCTTGTCAAGTCAATCACCTTTTGGTGAGGAACCAATCAGCTAATGCCACATGTCCCGACAGAGGGTTAAGTCTGTGACTATTGAGAAAACATATCATTTTGTGTCAAATCTTGCCTTTTAGAGAGAGAAGCTCTAGGGAGAAGAGGAAGAAGTTTTGAGTGAGAGAGTAGACTTCCAGGCTTGATCGTTGGAGTTTGAACCGTTAGATTCGAGTTTTGAGGTTAGAATCTTAATCTACTCTTGTTGTTCTTACTGATCATCTAGTTGCATTGCCCGATCGAATCTGTTCTGCATGCCAAGCATTGATTTAAAGTTAGTTTTAGAAAGAGAAGATAGTGTTCATGTGTTCATGAAGAAAAGTCTTGTTTTGATCTGAAAGTTTGTATCAAGAACCAGGTTTTTGTGTTTGTCTTCTTAAGATCTTCAAGTATGGGCACCCAGGTCCATGTTTTTGAACTCATAGCATGAAATCTCAGATTTTTGTAATAACAAGCCATGATTTAAGCATGCATGTTCTTCATCTTCTTCATCTTCTTCATCTTCCTATTCGTCATGTTCTTCAAAGGGAAACCCAGATTTTCCTGACTTCGCTTTTGAATGTGGCCGTCGGGACCACACCTCGGCGAGAAGGTGTGCGACCTCGGCCAAGACCTGGGTGGTGCCCAGCATGTTTTTCCCGTGATGAGAAACAGTGGTTGTGTGGTTCGATTTAGTTTTGAAGAATGCCGGGATCATTGCATTCATGTAAAGCTTGTTTTGAGAATGCATTTCATATCCATCTTTGAGCATCTCTTCTTGTCTACTTGAAGTTCCTTCAGTAGTATTTGCCATGTGATTGTAGGTCTTTGATCTTTGCCTTGAGCCTACACCCGAAGAACTATGTGAGTGGTATTTTTAATAAAGCTATGTTATCATGTTTTGATAAGCCTTGCTTTGCTTTGTTTTGAAAAGTATTTGGTCAAGTATGAATGATTATCCCTATTTTGTGTATCAAGTATTAGCTTTGTTTTGGATGACATTCTTGGAAAGTCCCTTGTGCGGAGGACTCTAAACTTTCGCAATACAAGTCCTTTTCGTGTTAGAGGACTTTAAGCCTTTGTAACACAGGTCCTTTGTGCTAGAGGACTCTAAACTTTTGTAGCACTCTTGTTCGAGATATCTCCCTTGCCACCGACGGCCTTGTGCGGATAGGTTTGTTTAATCGATTCCGGGTCGATTATTCCCTTGTTTTGCCACTGACGGTTTACGGCGTGGGTTTGTTGTTCGATATGTCATCATTTTGTAATATGTTGATGCTAGTAAGCATCTCTTGGAACTTTGAAAGATTTGATGGGTGATCTTGGTTCATCCTTTATTTGTATAAGTTATGATATTTATTGTTTTGAAAAGACTTCGGCTATTATTCATGCAAACCTTTATTACTTGTACCATTCACTGAGTATCCAAGCTCACCCTCTTTATATATATATGTAGGTAATGAGCAGGACGGCGGCGACGCCTAGATGTGTTTTACAAGCTTGTTTTGGATTCATGTTATGTCGGCTCGATTAGTTTTTATGTTGGCAATCTTGAAGATTATGCTTCTCGACTTGTAATACTTGTATTTTGCATACGTCGGCTTGAGAAGCCTTTTGATCAAGATGTACTGTGTTTTTGTTTATTAATCAACCGATTGTAAAATCATATTATGTATGTCATTTCATTTGATCTATGCACAGCTCTTTTGGACCACTTGGATTTTAATTTACTACTTCCGCATTTGTAAGCCCCTTATTTATACTCTGTGTGTGTGTGAATCCTCGTAAGAGGCCTTGGTAATCTCAGATTACCGGCCATCATGACACCATCCTACTAGGGGCAGTTTGGGGTCGTGACATTTCATCTAAGGATGCTGTTTTTGGGGAGTATGGCAAGTCAACAATGGCTGTGCAATTGTTCTCCAATGGTGGTCCACAAAGAAATGGATTTCCCTCATAACTGCTCGCTTCAAAGGTCCCAAACTGTGCCTTCCTGTCTAATATTTTACCTGATAAATTGTTGTGAGCCACAATGAACACTGCCAAAAAATTTAGATTGATTAGATCTGTTGGGATGTTTCCGCTCAAATTGTTGTAAGAAAGGTCCAAACTTTCTATTTGAGTAAGGTTTGAGAAGGTCTTCGAGATGGGTCCAATCAAGAGATTGTGAGACAAGTTCAGTGCACGAACACTACTTAACTTCCCTAGTTCAAAAGGTATTTCACCTGTTAGTTTGTTACATGACAAATCCAATCCAGACATGAAGTTAAGGATGCTGCCAGCCCGATAGGAGTTAGTCCTACTCTTAGTAATAAACTCAACTTCATCTACTTTATCATATGTGCCATCGGGGCCACCAATCTCAAAGACCATATCTAGATGTGGAAGTAGGACATTTTCATACACATAGAAGATATGCCTAGTGCTGTAAAATTCTAAAGGTGTTTGAGCGAAAGCAAGATCAGTAGCCACTATTGCCCCAAATGTGATATTACTTAAACAACTTGGTATAGACCCCGTAAAAGAGTTATTGGAAAGATCCATCAAGCTTATCTTATTCAGTTGGCACAATTGTGTTGGAATGGAACCACCCAATTGGTTTCCTCTCAATATAAGAATGCTAAGGTTGGCAAGCAACCTAATGGACAGGGGAATGCTGCCAGACAAGTTATTGTCACTGACATCCAATGTCACAAGTTTTGATAAATTAATAAGTGCTTCTGGAATGAATTTCGTAAAATGGTTCCCTTGCAAATGCACATGCACCACGACTCCCAAGTTTGGGTTTGAGCAAGAAGTAAGTGTTCCCAAAAATGAGTTATGAGAGATGTCCATGAACACATTTGGAATCAGTGCACATGGGAACTGACCATTAAATGCATTATTTCGCATGATCAATGTTCTCAAACGTATCATGTTATTCATCGAATCTAGAATCTTACCTGACATGTTGTTGTTGCTAATATCCAACATAGAAAGTTTAGACAAATTGAAGACCACATTTGTCAGAGGCCCTGTGAACTGATTATCGTTCAATCGTAAATACTCTATCTGAGTCAATTTGAAGTCATCTGAAAACATTTGGCCATGAAATTTGTTATTTGATAACGCTAAAGAACGTAGAGATCAGCAATTTCTAACTAACTGCTTCGGTACTTCTCCTAAAAGATTATTACTGGATAAATCTAAAACCTCCAAAATTCTCATCTTACCAATTGAGGATGGGATACTACCTCCAAAAGCATTCCTAGATAGGTTTATGTGTATAAGATATGGAACCATCTCTCCCATATTAAGTTGAATATGCCCAATTAATTGATTGTCTGAAACATCCATCCAACAAGTATAAGAATTGTAATATGGCGACAAATGAAATTCACCAACAAAAGAGTTATTCTCCAGACTTAAATATTCCAGTTTCGTATTGTTCACAAGTAGCCAGTTTGGGAATGAACCTTCCAAGTTGTTGTGGGAGAGATCAATAAAACTTAGTGTGTTTTGGTGAAGAAGAAACTTCGGAAAATCACCAGAGCGCTTGTTCAGATTACAGTTTGGTAGCACAAAGACCTTCAACTGAAACATGGGTAACCAATCTTTATATTCAGTTTCCACCTCAAATTTGTCATTATCACTTGTAATTGCAACCACCTCAAGCTTGGAATGGTTCACAAATGAGCTAAATGAGAATAATTCCTCAAAACGATTATGCCTAAGATCAATGTACTCTAGGGAATTGAGGCTGCCCAGCAGAGATGATAAATGGTTTCCTATGAATTGGTTCCCAGAGACATCAAACAACCTGAGAGATGTCAAATTGCTTAGGCATGGAGGAAGGATTCCTTCAATGTGGTTATAGCTGAGGTCAAGCTCTTCAAGTTTCTTCAGTTCACATAAACTTGCAAAAGCAACAAATTTATGTAATGCCCATCTCACTGGTCATGCTAGAAGAAATTTATATGCTACTCTTTAAAATGTTTGCTATTATAAGAAATTCACTACCTCTTAAGAGGAAAGGTAATGATAGTTCAAAGTTTTCATCAATGATGAACAAATTAAACAAGCACAAAGCAATGAACTTAAATAATAATAATAATAATAAATAAATAAATAAATAAAACCCAGCAAATTAGCATCTTTATTTAAATTTCTTTTTGTCTAGCTTTTAGTTTATAACAATTACATTAACAAACCATCATGGTAGATTTTTACCTTGAATGGGTAAAGAACCATTAAATTTATTTGAATTCAAATATAAAGCTTTCAGAGAAGATGCCCCTATGAATGGAGGAACACTCCCATAGAAACCATTCTGTTGCAAATCCAAGATCTTCAGATGGTAGAAAGATGCCAAACCTGCCAAAACATATAATAAAAGATAAATGATGCCAAAAGAACTTACAAAAATAACAGAGCTCAAAAATGATCTTAAGATTAGAAAAATAATAATAAAGACGATGAATTGACTTCCATTTGAAAACAAATTAACAATGTAACTTAAAATGAAAAATTTCTTGCCTTCTATTGGCAATGTTCCATTGAGCTGATTCCATGAGAGGATGAGGACCTCCAAATTGCTAACATTATAAGTCAGTTCTGTTTCCAAAGTGAAGGGACAATATGTTAAATACATTGAAACAAAGAAAATAGAGATGAACAGAATTGGATTTGATGCTGCAATGCAACCTACATTTATGAGCACCTCGATTACCAAATTTAAGGGACAATATATGTATACTAGCGTTTGCCCAACACTATTTAAATTTACTTTTTTATTTGATAAAATCACAAATTTATTATAAAATTTTGGAGTTCTCACAAAACTCCTTACAAAAACTCGCTTTTGCTTATATAATATATAGCTAGATAGATAGATGTGCCAAATATACATACAATTTCCACGGGCATACGTATAATATTGCTTTTGCTTATATAATTATACGAAAATTGTATGTGTATCCATAATGTTCTAGTGTATTACGGGCATACATACATTGTATGGAAATATGTATAAAATATATTAAACAAAAAGGGAAAAATAAAAAAATAAACAAATAGAGAGAAAAATAAAAACGGGAGAAAATAAAAAAATAAAAAGAAAAAAGGGAGGAATGTTGGATCATGAGATCATGGAAGGATGGATGAGAAAAGGAAAAAGTAAGAGAGAGAAGCGAAAAAGTAGAAAATATATTTGTAGAATATTTTTTGAGGAAATATATCTTAGCCATTGTTTTATAATTTGAACAGATCTGAGCAATCCAAATATCCTAATAGGACAAAAATATGTTGAAGATTCAAAACCGTCCTAATTTATTAAAATATGTTGAAGATTCATATAAGGTCTAAATTTATGAAGTCTATTAGGTATTCAGTATATTTAAAAATAATAATTAGTTGCTCAAATTCATTTAATTTGTGGACTATAAAATTCATTAATTTAATCTTCACTACACACAGTAAAATCTGGCTCCTAATTCAGGGATGGTAGACTTTTCCATATAATATGAATAAAAATAAGTGAACAAAAAGGAGAAAATAAAAAAAAAATAAACAAATAGAGAGAAAAATAAAAATGGGAGAAAACAAAAAAACAAAAAGAAAAGAGAGAGAAGGGTGGGATCATGGGATCATGGAAGGATGGGTGAGAAAAGGAAAAAAGTAAGAGAGAGAAGCAGGGAAATAGAAAATGTACATGTAGGAGAATAAGGAATGGATCACATCATTTATCTAATTCTTATGTGAATACGAGACAGAAGGAATAAGTTAACCGACCTTGAACCTTCAATTAATCCAAAACAAAGTTAGGATAAATTACATTGAGCTCTCTAAAAATTTAAAGTACTACTCCATAGTTGCATGTGTTTGTGCAACCATGCCTGATGCTATTGTTCTTCTTCTTCTGTTATCAAAAACAAAGAACCTACTTTTATGAAATGTTTCAGGATATACTCAATTTATGGACAGCTGAGACCTATAACCATAAATAAATTCAAGAACAGAGAGAGAGAGAGAGAGAGAGAGAGAGAGAGAGAGAGAGATCCATTGATGCATTGCATCATAATCTTTGTTGAAAGAGAAAACACGGGAAGGGAAGGGAGGGTGGCAGTGCGTTCACATGGATTCACATACTGACACTATTGCCCATTGTGTCAACAGTAGTAGGACATTGAGTTAGTGAGTTTACAGCAATTTACAAATGTCCCTTTCAAAGAAAATGACCCATTTCCAAGGAGAACACACTCAACAACACCACCATCCACCCTACCGCATCATTTTGTTCTCTTCTCTCTTCCAATAATCCCATCTCTTTGGCTTCTTCCCTCTCTCTGTGTTTCTGCTTCCATTCTTATTTCCCTCTCTCTCTCTCTCTCTCTCTCTCTCTCTCTCTCTCTTCTATTCATTTAGACTCTGTTTAGATCATGAATTAGATAAATGAATTTGATTTTTGAGAAATTCTCTCTGCAATCTAAAAGATCAATGGCTATTTACTATGAAAATTTATCTAAATTTCTTCTTCAAACTTACAAATATTAAAAAGAAAACACAATATTTTCACAAACATAATCAAGTTAAGAATATTTTGACAACCATAATTAAATTCTCTCTGCAATCTAAAAGATCAATGACACTTCATACATACTACTACTACAAGACATTGCCATAGTTTTTGTAGCAAATTGCTTGATTCACCCCAAGCATTGTCCTAAGTTTTAATTTCAATCACATTTCAATAACAATGCCCTAATTTTTAGCATTTCCTATGTGATTTCTGTGTGTTTTCACATATATATATATATGTGTGTGTGTGTGTGTGTGTGTGTAAACAGAGACAGAGAGAAAGAGAGGGAAATCGAGAGGGAGATACAGAGAGAGGGAGACACAGATGCGAAATGGAGGACATACCTGGAAGGAAGTTCGGGAGATGATCCAGCAAGCCTTGCGATGATGGCGATGGAGACAAAGCTATAGAGAAGAGGGCAGCGTGTGAGTGAGACCCAGTGACAGAGGCGTGAGTGTACCAGTGTATAATCGAGCATATATGGAATCAAGGTTGTGTATATATGATTTGTGTGTGTGCATGTATGTGTGTGTGTAAATAGCGAGAGCAAGAAAGAGGGAAACCGAGAGGCCTCTATGAGAAGGAGGCAGAATTCGAGAGGGAGATACAGAGAGATAAAGAGAGAGAGAGAGAGAGAGAGAGAGTCGACATGGAGGACATATCTGGGAGGGAGTTCGGGGGATGATCCAGCAAGCCTTGCAGTGATGGCGATGGAGACAAAGCGGAATCAGATGCAGGAGTGCGAGAGGGAGGGAAATGAACTACTTTTGCAATAAAAATAAAACAAACAAATATTTATTACCGACCAAAATTAATTTTCGTCGCTAATAAATTTAAGAAAAATCTAATATTCCCTCCAAAATTTTGTGGCACGTTTGGCTACTAAATTATAGTCGGTATATAATTAATCATTAGCAACCAAAATTGAAATAGCCGCCAAAACCCAATCATTTCCACGACTAACACACAATTAGTAGCAAAAAATTAAATAAATACGAATTAAAAAAATTATAATAGCCAAAAGACTCTGCAATTCGCGATGAACATCATATTTAGTCGCCGAAAATTATATTTTCAACGACTAAAACGTAGTTAGTCACCAAAAGTGAAGACAATTCCAACTACAGATTATTTTAGTAGCGAAATAGCGGACTTTTACCGAAAAAAAAAGTTTAGTAGCTAATAAGTGACCATTTGGCAACCAAATATTGTTTGGTAGCTAATGTGTGAACCATTGGCAACCAACAAATTTTTAGTAGCTAGTGTGTACCCCTTTGGCGACTAAATTTAGTTTAGTCGGCAAAATTAGTCGCATAATCTGTTTTTTGTTGTAGTGACAGTTAACCCATAATGACATGACAAATAGGTTATCTCCTTCAAATCATAAATAATTAAAAATATATAAATTATGTCTTCTATGATTAATTTGTGATAAATAAAAAATTAACACATAATTTATCATATTATTGTGAATTTTAATACATTAAGGCCTATTTTAAAAATTAATTTTTAATATTTTTTTTTATAAAAGTACATTTTTTGACTTTTTAACTATTTTAATCAAAATAACCCAAAATTGTGTTTGGTTTATGAATTTGAATAGAAATTTAGAAAATAAAAAAAATAAAAAAATAAGTAAAATATAATTTCATTCATACAACTTTTCTTTTCCTATTTTTAAATCTTTACTTAAATTTATGAACCAAACATTTTTTTTTTTTGCAAACATTTTTTTTTTTTTGGGTACAAGAAAATCCTCACATCCTCCTGCAGATCCAAGGCAACACTCGTGGCGAAAACACCAAGGTGTCCTATTGTTCATTCCAAACCAAAAACTATAACATGGGAGCTTGCATCGACCCCTCAACACAAGTTCCGTTTAAGACTTGCATAGTGGGAGAAAATTGAACCCACACTAAATACTATGTTGATAGCAGCTTGAGTGTTACTTAAATTTGTGATATCGACCAAAGTCCATATCCACTTTTGTTGACCTTATTCATAGTTTGGTATGCAAAAAGCATAGGTTTCTCATTGTGGAAAAATTTAGGATAAATGATAAATTGAACCATTAGTCTATGTTGGATAAATTACATCATTAATTTAGGTAATTTAAGTGAAGTGTCACTTTAGTTATCGAAGTTTTAATTTAAATAACTCGAATGCTACAATTTCAATTTTGTTGAAGTGTAATTCCTCCATCACTTATTGTTAAAATTTTGAATGGAAAAAACTATGTACAAATTAGAGAAACCAAAATGAAATTCTAAACAAACTATAGGGATCATCTATGTAATAAATAAGTTACACCAGTGGTCGCTATAGTTTTATTTGAATTTCACTTTGATTCCTTTAGTTTTGTACACGATTTTTTTCCATTCAAATGGTTAACAATCCATGACAAAGAGAGACTATATTTCAACAAAATTAAAAATGTAGATTAAAACTGCGAAGATCAAAATAAAATTTCGCTCAAACTAAAAGAACCAGTCGTATAATTTACCCAAAAATTTGCTGCCTTGTCCAAGAGATTAATGTTTTGGGACCAGTCGTATACAGAAAAAATTGTACAGTTACATACACAATAAATCTGCACATATAGAATACTAAACAACTACATAAGTTGTAAATGTAGAATGTAAGTTTTAAAGCGTTATTATTATTTTGTAATGTTGTGATAGCTCTATGTTGTACTGTATCTTTCCGTTAATATATTGTCGTTGTTTTCCTCAAAAAAGTTGTGAGTGTAATAAATAAATAAATTATTTGACAATCAAACATGCTGATTTTTATTAGTATGCCTGGAGCATAACTTACCGTCTCAGATTTGGGTTAAGAATGGAGTGTGATGAAAATTAAAAGGGTGCATTATGGGGGCCATGTGCAAAACGCATCTAAATCACATATTAGTATTTCTAAGTAATTTTTGAGTAAATTTTTCTAAATTTGTAATATTGCTCTATTTTTATTAGATGTTGAAATAGAACGCTGTATATTTTACCACAAAATGTATAGTGAAGTACTAGACCATCCTATATAGAGTATATCCCGAAGTACTCCTATGGCCAATCTTTTCTTTCTACCTTTTCAAATCCATGATCTAAACATACCTTAAATGGAATGCCATAC